CTAATTAAACCAGGTAAAACATTATAATAATCAACAACTACTGACGAAGGACATGGTACAGGTTGATTCACTCCCAGGCCCACCCCCACCCACCCTACCCCACCTCAGCCCACCCTAGCCCACCCTACCCTGGAATTTCACTAATATAACCTGCATTTACGAAGATAATTCCCATATTAGTGGATGTTTTTTTTTCGTTTCAATCTTCAGGTGAGTTTGTTTAAGCCTTTAGTCATCAAAGGTAAGAAGGGTTATTTTGGGTTACCTCTCACCTGTAAATAGGTTAACCAGCGCGTGAATCACCTTGTTATGCGTATTACTAACAATCGGCAACCACCCAAGATAGATTACTGTTCGAAAATATAAACTACCTCAGCGTATAATGACGTCACTTATACGTCATCACAGCGTATAATGACGTCACCTATACGTCATCACAGCGTATAATGACGTCACCTATACGTCATCACAGCGTATAATAACGTCACCTATACGTCATCACAGCGTATAATGACGTCACCTATACGTCATCACAGCGTATAATGACGTCACCTATACGTCATCACTGCGTATAATGACGTCACCTATACGTCATCACAGCGTATAATGACGTCACCTATACGTCATCACTGTTGATATTCGTCATAGAGCAAAAATGTATTAGTTTGGCCCACATAACGGTACAAGGTCTCCCGGAAGCTGCTGTAAGAGGTAGTGATGACTGAACGACCGACACACACACACACACACACACACACACCGACACACACACACACACACACACACACTTTATTACTTACACACACACACAAAATACTTCATCTTTTAAGGCACTTGACCCTTCCTCCTCGTTACTGGAAGCAACCCAAAACTCCAGCAGTAATTCTGAGACCATCACGGTGCAGGATGTGTGTGTGTGTGTGTGTGTGTGTGTGTGTGTGTGTGTGTATCATCACATCATCATTATTGGGTCGATCTATTCTAAGCTGTGTTCCTCTTGAACCTCTTGGCCTCAAACACTCCTCCCTGACCTCACACTTCCGCCTTGACCTCATACACTCCCTCCTGACCTCCGCTCCCCTGACCTCATGCCTCCCTGACCTCTGCCTCCCGACCTCCCTCCTGACCTCACTCCCCTGACCTCACTCCCCCCTGACCACACCCTCCTGACCTCTCCCCCTGACCCTCACTCCTCCTGACCTCCACCACTCCTCCCTGACCTTACCCTCCTGACCTCAAGCCTCCTCCTGATCTCTATACTGCTTACTTATATGTATAAATGCAAAAAAATCGTGTTAATTCCTAAGTGAAAATTTACCTCTATCTGCATCACGTGTTTTAATTAGCGGGACACGAGAGGACCCAAAATCTGCCCAGGTGTGTAATATAATGCGTCACCTGTACACTGTAATCTTCTTCACCTGTACAGTAACTAATGGCCTAAACATATCATGATTTCCACCAACCACTATTCCAAGACACTATTATTATTAAGAGTTTCACCATCATCATTATCGTCACCATCATCATTATCACTACCATCATTGTCATCACCATCCCACCACCACCATCGTCGAGGCAACCTCTCCAAGCTAAAACCTAACCTAACCTTACCACTGGGAAACTATCCAATGGAGTATACTTTTACACGCAGATATACATAAGTTGCAATAAGTTCTTTTGACGGCTGATCGATAGTGATTTGTGTGTATGTTTGGTGGTATGATGATGTGGTGTAGTGGTTCTGGGAAGTGGTAATGGTGTGGTGGTGGTGGTAGGTAATGGTGTGTTGGTTTGGTGGTAGGTAGTGGTGTGGTTGTGGAAGGTAATGGTGTGGTGGTGGTGGTGGTGTGGTGGTGGTGGTGTGGTGATGGTAGGTAGTGGTGTGGTGGTGGTGGTGGTGTGGTGATGGTAGGTAGTGGTGTGGTGGTGTTAGGTAGTGGTGTGGTGGGTATTGAGAGAGAGAGAGAGGTCAAGGCGCTGACACACTCGTGAATATTGTAACGCGTAACACCCACTCCTCCACGCCATCACGCTCCACCTCCACTATATCTCTCTGTGGAAGTAATGGATCCAGTAAAAAAAGAACCTCCATTATCGTTTCATTATGTCGTTTATTCATCACAGAAAACGAAGCTCTATTAAATATACAGTCAATCAACTTTTGCATGATGATACTTGTTCTCAACATCTATGTGAAAAACAAGTGACAATCGGTTATCATAAATCTTTCCTGCATTTATATTTAAAACAAGTGACAATCGTCTATATCATTTATATTTAATACAAGTGACAATCGTCCATCATTACACTTGCCGACATCTATACCTTAAACAAGTGACAGTCGTCTATGATAACACTTCCCACCGAAGGGTCAAGACGTACCTGGCGCTCCTCTCGGAGCAGCCAGGTCAACTGTTAAGTTGGCCCATACCAACCCCCTCCCCTGAACCCTCCTCCCCACCGGAATATCAACAAGTTCTCACCAGAAGTTACAATTTCATTTAGGAAAGGAACGGAACCAGTGTTAAACAGAGGTGAACAGTGGTGAACAGTGCTTAAGTCAGTGAGAACAACTCAACAGTAACAGTCGTACCCAACTTAAAACCTTCAGTGAGGTCCCAGGTACCCAGTGATAACGGCCGTGAGACCCAACAACAACCAGCGATGTGTTAATCCGTCTACGATAGGAAGGACTGGGACCACACCTCACTCATATAACACCATCTGTGAGGGAATTACTACACCACGTCAGGTCCCTCATAACACCATCTGTGAGGGAGTTACTACACCACGTGAGGCCCCTCATAACACCATCTGTGAGGTAATTACTACACCACGTGAGGTCCCTCATAACACCATCTGTGAGGTACCATTACACCACGAGGTCCCTCATAACAATTATCCAGGAATTACTACACCACAATACCATAACACCATCTGTGAGGGGAGTTAATAACCACGTGAGGTTCCCCTGCCAACAACACCATCTGTGAGGTAATTACTACACCACGTGAGGCCCCTCATAACACATCTGTGAGGGAATTACTACACCACGTGAGGCCTCATAACACCATCTGCGAGGAATCGCCATTACACCAATGAGGCCCCCTCATAACACCATCTGTGAGGGAATTACTATACCACGTCAGGTCCTCATAACACCATCTGTGAGGGAATTTACTACACCACGTGAGGCCCCTCATAACACCATCTGTGAGGTAATTACTACACCACGTGAGGCCCCTCATAACACCATCTGTGAGGGAATTACTACACCACGTGAGGCCCCTCATAACACCATCTGTGAGGGAATTACTACACCACGCCAGGTCCCTCATAACACCATCTGAGGGAACTACTACACCACGTGAGGCCCCTCATAACACCATCTGGGAGGGAGTTACTACACTAAGTGTTTGCTGTTCAACACCTACAATAATCTGTATATTCACTGTATGTTCCTTTACCTTTCTCTAATGAAGGCTTTTGTTAAACCATCACTGTATGTAATAAGTCATTTATGTCCAATGTATATTTTCAGCCTTCGGGCTGCAGAACTTTTTCAATAAACCGTTAATTATTATTATTATTATTATTATTATTATATTTAAAACAAATGACAATCACCAACACTTTTTCTCCTAGGACAGACGAGGATGAAACAGACAGCACGACTTCCCCCGATCTGATTAAGATAACCCGCTCTACCATTACCAATATCAACGTAGGAATTCATGCCAGATTTGAAGATAACATAAAAAGTGCGAAAATAACAAATGAAAGAGACATTTAAGGTCAAAATTCCCTCGGTGTTTCTGGCGACATCTGGCTGTGGGTTACATGTGATTGGTTTAGTCGTTCACCACTAACTTTCCTGATAAATTACGTCAGAATAACATACAGAAGTTATAGGTTAACGTTAGTTAGGTAAGAGTTAAGGTGTTTAATTAATCTTCAGGTGAAATAGTTGGGGTGTCTAATCTACAGGTGGTCCATCAGGTCTGTAAGTACTCGTAGATGTGTGTTAATGAACCTTGATGGACGCGACAATGAGGCAGGGACACACGGAAGCCAATTAGTGACAACGGTTAGTGGAACAACTAGGGGGGAGGGGGGGATGTCAGAACCAAAATACACCACCGAATCCATGAATCACCGAACCCCTAAACCACCAAACCCCTCTCAAACACACATAACCGCCCAACACATGGCTACCACCTTTCAGAATATCTCTCATCATCACTTTATATACACACATTTCATTTGTTTTGGTGTGAGGGAGAAATGTCACTTAAATGGGAGGGGTGAGTGAGGGCAGGCAGTGTTGGAGGGGAAGTGGTGGTGGTGGAGGTGTGTGGTGGAGCAGAGGAGGTAGTGTTGAGGGAAGTGGTGGTGGTAGGTGTGTGGTGGAGTGGTGAGTGTGAGGGTAGGTAGTGTTGAGGGAAGTGGTGGTGGTAGGTGTGTGGTGGAGTGGTGAGTGTGAGGGCAGGTAGTGTTGAGGGAAGTGGTGGTGGTAGGTGTGTGGTGGATTGGTGAGTGTTAGTGGTAAGGCGCCTACAAACTTTCTTAGACAATTAGTTCGAGAAAGGAAAAACCTGCCAAGTTATAGTCAATGGTATAGACTTTTTACACTGAGAACCTTAATATTTATCTATTATTTATATAACGTTTCTGATTTATAATTCTATACTGACAAGAATATAGAGACATGCTATAGTTTTAAGTTATATTGACGCTTTGTGATATATAATCCTGATTTATAGGGGATCTCATTTATATAACGTTGTAAAAATTTGGTGGAGCAGAATATAAGGGTAAGTAATGTTTTAGTATTTAATTATGTACGAGATTATTAAATATTATCTTTAGTAAAATATCTTTAAAGTGGGTCATATTTATTGTTGTTTATTTACAATGATGGCAAGTGTTTGTTTGTTTATGCTTTTAAAATATTGTGTTGACGGTAATGATTATAACTACTCTATGTTCACCTACAGGCAGCCGTGGGTGATCGTCTCTACTACAACTACTGCGGTTACAACACTACAACTACTACGGCGGCTCCTACGTGCGTGTATGACAACATGTGACTCGTAAATAAACCTGAACTAAATACACGAGAGATAGATATGTCCCAGCCAGGCGCCGTGCATAGGATCTCCTCACGCCGGGGATGTTACTCAGAGAAGGTCATAGTGCCAGGCCCCTCAAATGGTGCCTCAATATGACCACCACCGTATATCGACTGGGTATTATTCTTGAAGGTATATCGTGTGAAGGACCGTGGGGCGCTGCATTCTAGAGAAGTGTACGTGTGAAGGACCGTGGGGGCGCTGCATTCTAGAGAAGTGTACGTGTGAAGGACCGTGGGGGCGCTGCATTCTAGAGAAGTGTAGGTGTGAAGGACCGTGGGGGCGCTGCATTCTAGAGAAGTGTACGTGTGAAGGACCGTGGGGCGCTACATTCTAGAGAAGTGTACGTGTGAAGGACCGTGGGGGCGCTGCATTCTAGAGAAGTGTAGTGTTGATCAATACGGAACTATTCACAAGGACTGTCCATACTCTGCATAATGAACCGCCCTCCGAGGCTTTTATGTGTACGGTGAAGATAAAAAGAGTCGACTGATAACCTCTCTCGTCCCTCCTACAGCGTCCATTACTTGTAGTTCTTCAGTTAGTCAGGCCTAGGTACCTTAGAAATGTGCTAGGTAGTTCATGATGGGGATGGAGGGAGGTGACGACATCAACATGTTGGCCCAGAGGAGACAGGCAGGGCGTCGAGGGGTCCGCCCGCCCTACCCTAGTGAACTGACCTTACGCATCGATAACTTCACCTCAGGGACCACCACGCCTGCCCTCACGCCCACCACGCCTAGGGTAAGTCACGACGACCAGGGTAAGTTATGACGACTACTATCACGACCAGATTTCATTCATCCCTCACTCCCACTCCCCTCTCCCCCCTCCCACCCCCCTCCCCATCATCCTTGGCATATGGTTCCGATTCCCACGCTACCACAAGAAAACTAATTCCCTCTCACTGTACGGATCTTGTGTATTTTAGTGACCGACAACCACAGGATAACAACAGCTGTACAATTTCCCTTTATGTTGTTGCTGTGGGAATCTCTAGCACGACGGAACACCAGAACGTTGGGTAGGGGTGGGGGAGGGGGCTATTCTTCCTGTGGTGCGGTTAGGTTCCTCGAAAACACAACAAGATTAGATAAAGTAAGGGAAAAGGGGAATTCTCTCCCTTTGTTAGCCCGGAAACGCATCTACCAAACGACTAGCCTTTCCAAGCAGACATCCTCTTTCATCTTCCTGTAATGATAAAATATCACATAGGAGCGTAAGTTTATAACACTGTGGCTGCCTGGTGGAGAAACTCTTCTTCTTTTTTTACGGGGATTAGCCCACGTATCAGGGCCTGGGGGCGAAAATATAATAATAATAATAATAATAATAATAATAATAATAATAATAATAATAATAATAATAATAATAATAATAATAATAATAATAAATAAGAATAATTAATAATAATAATTAATAAATAAAAACGAAAAAAATAATTCAAGAATGAGAAACGATATACAGGATGTACAGTATGTTGTGTTGTCAATAGTAAGAGAAACAATTGAGACCTTGTACACATGGGTCTACATTAGAAAAACATTATGCTTCTAATATCTTCCCAGGCGGTAGTACCTCTTTGATAACAGTGACGAGTTTTAAGACAATAGGTTATCGTCACGTCGGTCTCAGATTATCGACCGAAGGGACGAATTTTCCTGCTGGAGATAATGGTCCCCTCGGCGCCATTCCTCCGTCAACAGAATCTGATTATCGTGGTTGACGGCTCCTCTCAATTATTGTTCGTCTGTCCTGGATACTGTACCAACAGCCGGTGAGGCGTTGAGTGAGAGAGGGAGGGAGGGAGGTGAGGTGAGGGAGGAGAGGTGTTGGTAGCTTACACTTAACACACTGTATCCATTCTTCTTTGGTGATGATCATAGGGCAGTTCCTTCCTAAGCTTAAAGTGGGAGGGTGGCGTACGTCGTGAGGAGGGAGGAAGGGTAGGGTAGGGTTAAGGGTGAAGGGTAGAGAGGAAGTGAAGGTAGGAGATTGAGGAGGAGAGAAGAGGAGGGGAGAGAGAAGAGGAGAAAGGGAGAAGAGGGTAAAGAAGGAGAGACAAAAGGAGGGACGGTGAGGGGGAATCAGGGAGAGAAGGAGTGAGAAATATTAATAATATATGTCCATCGACACAGAAAACCAATTGTGAGCATTTTCCGGCAAACATCGTGAGTGTAGTGTAGTGTAAGGGGAGGGTAGTGTAGTGTAGTGTAAGGGGAGTGTAGTGTAGTGTAAGGGGAGGGGAGGGTAGTGTAGTGTAGTGTAAGGGGAGGGTAGTGTAGTGTAAGAGAGGGTAGTAGTGTAAAGTATGTAGTAAGAGTGGGTAGAAGTGAAGAGTGTAGTGTAGGTCGTCGTTGGCGGACCTTACTAACCCTAAGACAAGAATTATTATACAAAAGAGTGGGTTGGGTTAGGTTAGGTTAGGTTAGAGTTGGTTTGGATAGGGCTAGGGTTAGGTTAGGTTAGGTTAGGTTAGAGTTGGTTTGGGTAGGGCTAGGGTTAGGTTAGGACACGATAAGCTTATCCCATAAATATCCTGAATGAAAGAGGAAAATTATACCTATCCTAATCCTTCTGTGTCTGTCTGTCTGTCTGTCTGTCTGTCTGTATTACGTGACGCCAGACCCTCGTAACTGATGCTCGAGGACCTAGGAGAGGCAGTAACACTCTTTGATGATTCAGGAGCGAGTCTTTGAGCAGGATGGGGTCTGGTGGGGGCTAGGTGGGGTCTGAGGGGCTGGGTGGGGTCTGGTGGGGGCTGAGTAGGGTCTGGTGGGGGCTAGGCAGGGTCTGGGGGGCTGGGTGGGGTGTGGGGTCTGGTGGGGGAATAAGGGGAGGTGGTGGCTGGGGGCTAGGTGGGGTCTGGGTCTGGTGGGCTAGGTGGGGTCTGGGGTCTGGGGTCTGGTGGGAATAAGGGGTGGTGGTGGCTGGGGGGCTAGGTGGGGTCTGGAATCTGGGGAGTGGGGTCTGGGGGCTAAGGAGGGGGTCGATTCCTTTACTACCTCAACACAACGAAAACAATAGACTGGTGAACTGGTGATAGACTAACTGTGGGTGGTGAAGGGTGGGGGAGGAGAGATACCAGTTAGAAATAAGAGTGACTGGGGACATAGTTTGATACTCAGAGATAGACTGTAGGGGGAGGGGATAAAGAAGGCAGTTAGAAATAGACTGTCACTAGGAGAGAATCTTTTTATAAGGGGACTGACTGTAGGGATGAGAAAACAGTTAAGTGACTGACTGACTGGGAAGGGAAGTGAGGAGAGATAGACTGGTGATAGACTGGTGACAATAACTTACAAGTGACTGACTGTGAAGGATATAACCGAGAGAAAGACAGACAGACAGAGAAAGAGACATAGACAGAGAGAGAGAGAGAGAGAGAGAGAGAGAGAGAGAGAGAGAGAGAGAGAGAGAGAGAGAGAGAGAGAGAGAGATTATGAAGACATATAAACACAGGAAATAGCGAGGGAAGAACTCTCAAACACTGACACTTTCTTCATGACACGAGACGTCACCCCCTCAAGCGGTTCCCAGGGGAGCCCTCTTGTGTGACCTACCCTCCCTTCTCCCTCTCCTCGTCTCTCTAGTGCTGATGAGAGTTTTGTTATGAGTGAGTCTCGACATTCATAAATACATAAGATAATCTCTCTGTGGTCGAGGGTAGGAGCTACTGACGTCAACACTAGCTACTGACGTCAGCTATTGATATTGACACCACTGACGTTAACACCGAGCTATTGATGTTGACACCATTGATGTTAACACTAGCTACTGACGTCAACACTAGCTACTGACGTCAACACCAAAATCACTGGCTTCAACATCAGTTTAAAGTGACCCACATACACCAACATCGAACACAAACGTCTAACACCTGTAATTAGTAACAAAGGTGAAACATCTCATTAATGGTCCACCTGTTTGGTCTGTTTCGTCTACTCTGAGGTCACGTGTCTCTAGATTACAGTCAGATCAGGTCATGACTTTACTTCTCTCCATAATCAAGAAATAAATAATTACATAATAAATTAATTAATGAATAAATATACAAAAATAAGTAAATAAATAGATTAATAGATAAATAAATAAGTAAATTAATTAGAAATAAAATATAAAATACCTGACAATAATTCAATAAAGAGAATACGAAAGGGTGAGGAGGAGGAGAAAGAGGAAGAGGAGGAGGAGAAGAAAGAGGAGGAGGAGAAAGAGGAAGAGGAGGAGAAGAAGAAAGAGGAGGAGGAGGAGGTTGTTCCCAGAGAGTGAGTGTGTGTGTGTGAGAGAGAGAGACAGACAGACAGACAGCTTCAAGTGGGACAGATAGCGAGGAAAATCGAGCCTGCAGTGTTGGTTAGGTCAGGGAGGCAAGGCAAACACTCAATCCCCCTCACCACCCACCCACACCACCGCCCGTCTCTAGAGATCTCTCCTGACGTCACCAGTAGGAAGGAAGTGTACGGTCTGTTTACTTATCGTCAACTACCGTAACACCGCCCGTCACTAAGTTATTTCTTCTTGTGTTACGCCATCTTGGAATTACACTACTTGAGGAGAAGGAAGAGGAGGCAGCTTTATATAATATGACGTAAGAGAGACCACTGGATAAATACTTGGAGGAAAAAGATGTGGTGTACGGTTAGGTTAGGTTAGGTTAGGTTACTCTACGTTAGTCTAGCGCGTGAGATGACATGTATACTTATGGACTTTTGAGATAAATATGTATGTATGTACGGGCGACCTGTGGTGTAATGGTCAGCATGCTCGCCTCGCAAGAGAGTGGACCCGGGTTCGATCCCCGGGCAGAGTGAAACTATGGGCAAGTTTCTTTACGTCATTTGCCTCTGTCTACCCAGCAGTAACTGGGGACCTGGATGTTAATCGATTTGCGGGGTAATGGTTAGCCAGTGCAGTTGGCGAGTTGTCCGGTCTTCTCGGACTATTCCTTGACACTGGGTCATGCAGCTCGTTAACTTGGGGTGTGGTTATTGTGTTGGCGACAGCTTCTACACCTTAAACAAATTCAGGCCTAGGAGGCCCTTGGGCCGGCCATCCTCGATTTCGAGGAGCTTCCATTGTGTATGCTACGCCTGTGTGTATGCATGTATGTTTGGGGGGGGGGGTCAACCTCAAGCGCTGTTATGAATCATTATATCTGCTTACTCACTTCCCCTGGAGGCGTGTGTGTGCGTTTATCCATATACAGAGGTCACGGCGGCGCCCTTGTTGGCTGTCCTTTAAAGTAAACTTGTTCTTGTGACTAATGGTGACGCCAAATGGTACGGTGTGTGTGTGTGTGTGTGTGTGTGTTTAAGCTCTCATAATACTGCCTATCTTTTATTTCTTTATATCATTAATCCAAGAGATTATCGACCTTTAGTAAATAAAAAAAATAATCACCTCACGTCTCTGTATTTGCTTGCTGGGGTCATGTTAGTGTTTACCAACTTGATACTAAGGAACCCTGGCGCCTCTCCATCCCTCTGTTGATCACGTCTTTTAACATGTTAATTTATCCTCTGTGCTAATCTTAGTCTATGGTAATATGGTGCATGGTAACTGTGAGCATATTATTAATGTTTGTTTACATCTGAATATCAATACTTTCATGGGATTTGTGTGATGGCGTTGTTGTTTTGAGGTCTTGGTTCTGACGTCACAGTTTGTTTGCATTTGCCATTTGTCGTCAGTCTATTGGTCAGCTGAAAGACGCCTGACTTTCTTTTCCTACTTTACTACTT